TTCCGATAATTTTTAAGTCTATTCGTATTAAACTGCTCTCACAGCTGAAGTGGTATTCTGTTGTGGAGCTTCCTTTCGCCAGTGATGGTGAACAAGTTTCTTATATTTTCATATGCCCTTGTTTGGTATTTTGACATCTCCCATCCCTCTAGCCATGACCACGCTCCGTTCTTTTTTTCGCGTCTAGTTATAACTCAGTCTCTCCGTGTGCACCAACCCTCCCGCCCGTACCTACCCTCACTGTCGTCTTCCTATACCGCCAGGTTTGGGTCGAGAACATGGACTCTGCCGATGAGCGTAAGCTCGGTCTGCTGGAGCTGCACCCAGAGGTGTTTGCCGCCTTCCCCAAGCTGCACCTGATCCACGACAACGTGCGCTGGCAGCGCATGTACCGTCAGGTGGTGAGTGCGGATCGTTTAGTGGCGACCGGCGGACAGCGCGCTCCCTCTATCACTGCCGCGGTGGGGAGGTGAATTAAAAACCGGTGCGCTCGGTCAGGTGGGAGGGTATTGTCGGAGACCGGATGACAGTCTCTGATGCCTTGTGTAATGGACTGAAGAGACATGTAATGTTTCCTGTCAGTGGAGTTAGACCTGACGTTAGTCTGCTGGATGTCGGTGTACATTAGGTTGCATTTATGTGGGGTGTTTCTGAATGGAAAGCTTACGAGAACGGTAAGGGAACGCCGCGCTCATCTTTTTTGATTGACGCGTTTGTTTAGTGCTACGCCTTTCGTCATTCGTGTTACTGATACATTAATTCATATTTTCCTATTCATTCACGGCCACACTTATCATTATTTCACGTCAGCACAACGGAGTTCTCTGCAATTGATACATTGTGATGTCTCTTCGTTATGCATATGAACTTTTCCATTGCAAACCCAACAAGTAAGAATCCCGTTGTCAACTATTGTCTGATGTGTACCGCCGTCCTGCCTGTGGGATTTGTGCCCACCACTCGTGCGCGCTCCTCCGCAGGACTACGCGGCCACGAAGACCCGAGCCGAGGTGCGGGGCGGTGGTCGGAAGCCCCATCCGCAGAAGGGAGGCGGCAGAGCTCGCGCCGGCAGCATCCGGTCACCCCTCTGGAAGGTGAGCAGCGACCGTGGATCGGGGTGGGGAGGGGGAAGGGGAGGTCGCTCGGGTGGGAGTTGTGTGCATAGTATATCTGGAAAGAGACTGCTAGACTGCATATTTTTCTGGCTTCGTTCGTATATCCAGTTTTTTTTTTTTTAACGGGAAGACCCAATGACTTAATAACTCTTTTGTCGTGACTTTAGAGGCTCCGCCTTATTCTCAGGATTGATGGTTCGACCCAAAATGTACTACTTTCTACATTTTGGTTGGCATTACGAAAGCAAAATTATGGGGGGTGGGCGGACCCCAGCGACCCTCGGTGGCGGAGCTCCTGTCCCGATGACCCGTCTGACCCCCCCCCCCCCTCCTCCTCTCCGGGCAGGGTGGCGGCGTGTCCCACGGGCCGCGCGGACCCAAGACACACTTCTACATGCTATCTCACAGCGCCCGCGTCGGCGGCCTGTGCGCCACACTGAGCGTCAAGCTGGCGCAGAATGACCTGCACGTGGTGCGGGACCTGGAGCTGCCCTCTGCCGACCCGGGCCTCCTGCAGGAGCTGGTCGAGCGCCGCTACTGGGGGCCCAGCGTGCTCTTCGTTGATGAGTGAGTTCTGTGGTTTTATGGACTCTGGGCAGTGGGTGGTGAAGGGAAGAAGGGAGAGGAGGGAGAACTTGTTTGAGGCAAAGAGAGTAGAGTGCGAGGGATGCATACTGCATAGAGGTAAACGGCGTTTGGAATAGTCGGACGTGTTTCAAAGTGCTCCACTATTTTAGTTTATTTACCGTAAACAGCTCAGATAATGCTGTGAAATATGTATTAAAATGTTCACATTTTATCGTATATTATTTCTGGTGTGTAAATGTTTCTCAGAAAGTACGTGTAGGACTACTATAGTCGTTTAAAAAAAGGATTATTTTCCTTAATTTTTTGGAAAGTATCTCGGCTCCATCAATGTCAACTTCCCTTGATTTTTTCTCTGGTGGCACGTGCTTTATAAGTTAGGATCTAGGAATCGCAGGATTTAGGTAGGTACTAAAAAGCGACTATAGTCTGTTTTTCGTATCTTCTACCTTCACTCAAAGACGGTAAACTCTCTAATCACGTGCTCCAGCGAACATCTAATTAAATCAACACCGCTGCAAAGTCAATTTTTATCTCGAACGCAAGATCGAACGTCTGTCCCCTTGGCCTGTCTTGTTAATCAAAATGCAATGTTCTTTGTCAAGTGAAATGCATTTGCATAAAAACGTGTCATCATATTTTCATTCTGGCAAAATTATCCCTTTCTAATTTAATTATGTTTTCAAACAACAGAAGGGCAATGGCCTTGGTCTCAGACAAGACAAAATGATCGTAACGTTTTCTTTCAACGTTTCAAAGCAAAAGAAATGTGGGTTAGGTGACTGAAATAAGGCGGTGAAGAAGGAGCACAACCAACGAATATCGCCAGAATAACGAATTTACTTCCTTGGATACCAGAACGAAAAGTGTTGAAGGCGCGGAGAAACACCGACGGTGGTGGCACAGTTCAACTCCGTCATGCTTTCAGCGCAATATAATACGAAAAATGCATACGTGGGTGTTATTGTTGTTATTACCTGCATTTGTGTATCATAATATAAGCCCTAAGGCGCTGGTGATTGCCAGTGGTCAAAAAGTCATGTCAGATGATAAAGATCACAAGCAGCTTTCGACAATACCTAATAGCTACTAGAACCAAGGCCGTATAAGTTACTAGAACTAAAAATGTTTCGACGGCGCTGTAGTTCAATCGGTTGACAATGTTTGGTCAGATTTGTCCAAACATGCTGAGCTCGGGAGTTTTTTAAATTTATGACTCAGTGGCCTTCACTATTGACCTCAGCAAAATGCGGTATATACTATATACGTATACTGCTGAAAGCAATTGTTGAGAGCTATCGATTCTTGCCCGCGCCTTCGCATCTTTCTTACTTTTCGGGATGATCGCGTGAGGCAGATAGGAAAACTGTAAGATGAAGCAAATCTGCCTGGGGACCCCCAAGCGGGCGTGGGCCAAGACAATTTTGTTATTCGTCGGTGTAAAAGTTATCGCAACGTAAATAAAGCAAAGCATAAATAAAGCATTTGAAAAAAAATATGGCAGAACATAAAAAACATTTAGCTTCTTTTACCCAATGAAAAAAGGAAGTGCAAGCTTTAAGCTTTTCTATACTCTATACTCTATACTGATATTCTAGCTTAAAGGTTTCTTTTCCGATTTTATCTGCGCAGCGAAGGCGAACTCCAACACGAGCAACAAACTCTTGCAGTGAGTGGTGGGTCATGCGGTCAAGATTTGAAAACTATACCCTAAAAACGTGCTGGAGGGGCAAAACATCTTTGAGTGAAGGTAGAAGATACGAAAAACAGACTATAGCGATTGCGTCAAGGCATTATGCACAATTCTACGGACGACGACTCGGATTGCTTTGTCGAAGGCTATGACCCAAAAAGCAGCGAATGGATCATTGCAGGAAAAAGAAAAAGGAACAAGAAAATGAATGACAAAATGAAAAGGCTGCAAAGGTAAACAATGCCTCAAACTTATGTGGCTCTTGTCAGATGGAAATGGGCGCCAAAGACCGATCACTGGAGTGTGAGGTGTGCTTGTTAAGATACCATGTTGTTTGCCAAGGAGTATCGGACAAACTGTACGAAGCCCTTGGGGACGAGGCAGACAGTTGTGCATGGTTCTGTCGGGCGTGCAAGGAAGGAGCTAAGCAGCTGAGACTCGAGATCATAGCGATGAAGCGAGAGCAGCTGTCGATCAAAGCCGACCTCAAAAGCCTCGCATCTACATGCGAGCAGAACTGTGCTGAGATTGCCGCATTGAAAGCTAATATTTCACAGACTAGCCAGAAGCTTGAAGCGTGTCAAAAAGAGCTGCAGGATAGAATCAACGCCATCGAGGTCAGTTCCAGTGTTACTCAAGCTGCCCTCCAAGTAAAGCTGGAAAAAAGATTGAAACAAGTGGAGCAAAGCTGTGGGTCGGCATCAGCGGAGATGAGCAGTCCAAGCTATGCTCAAGCAGCAAGAGCAAACATGTCAGCATTGGAAACCAGACTGGAGGAACTGGCCGTGACTGTAAAGTCAAGCCTAGTAAAGGACACAACCGATACCAGAGCCCTGAAGAAAGGACTGACTGAACTAGAAGACATTGAAAACAGAAAACTAAACTTGGTTGTTTTCAACCTCCCCGAGACCGGCAGCAGCGAGGGAGACATTGCAGCATTCAAAGAAATGATCAAGTCTGAGTTCAAGTTATCTGTGAAGTTACAGGAAGCCACAAGACTTGGAAAGATGAAAGACACAGGCTCCAGAATACTTAGAGTGAAACTCGAGGCACTGAGTGAAAAGAAGCTGATCTTGGCTAAAGCGAAGGATCTGCGAACAAGCCGTGATGAAACATATACTAGTGTATATATCCGTCCAGATCTTACAAAATGCCAACTTGAGGCTTCAAAAAACTTGCGAGCACTATTGCAGGAAAAACGCCTAGCTTTCCCAGAAAAGAAATGGATGATAAAACGGAACGAAGTGGTCATGGTTCCATCACTGCAAAGCTAAACATCCAAGATGGCACGAAAACAACCGGGCCCCCAGCACATTCAAGTGCGTTAAAAGTGTTTTATGCGAACATCGATAATTCTATCATGAGTAAATACGACTCTATTTTGGCACTCATTGCACTTGAGGACTACGATGTTCTTGCGTTATCAGAAATGAAGCCCAAAGTTGGATTGATACTTGAACATACTGTTATGGAAGTGCCTGGGTATGACCTTTTTACTAGCAAATTTTCTGCCGAAGGTACAAGGGGTACGGGAATTTACGTCAAGAAAAACTTACTGGCCAAGCAAGTGTATCCTACGGTGGGCGGCAACTTTCAAGATTGTACCTGGATTTCAATTGGTGCCCAGGCTGGGGTCAGTATGCTCGTTGGGGTGATCTATAGAAGTGGGTCACCAAATAGAGCTATTCCTTTGGATCATGATCTCCACAAAATGTTTGGTTGGGCGGCATCCTCAAATCATTCCCACAAAGTCATAGTTGGGGACTTCAACCACCCAGAAATATTTTGGACCCCGGACCCCGAAGTTCCAGAGGGTGTCAGCCAGAACAGCCCAGCCCGGAAGTTTATAGAATGCATACACGACACCTACCTTCTACAACATATAACGGAGCCAACAAGATACAGGGATGGACAGCGAGCTACTCTCGACGACCTACTATTTACAAATGAGCGGGAGTTGGTTGAGCAACTCAGCATTGGTGACCCGGTTGGAGCAAGCGACCATGTCAGCATCTCATTTGTTATGTCGTTTGCACCAAAGGCTCCAGCAAGAAAGAGTGCGGTGCTGAACTACCATAAAGCCAATTATGAAGATATGAGGGAAGCACTTAACATGGATTGGCAAGGATTGTTTGAAGGTAAATCTGTGCAGGAGATGGCAGATAAACTTGAACAAACGATCGCGGATCTGATAGAAGAGCATGTGCCCAAGGTTGATCCTAACAAAAAATCGAAAAGGGGATATCCCCTCTGGATGAATCGAAATGCTCTGGGAATGGTGAAGAAGAAACAGCACGCCTGGATTCGTTTTTTGAACACTAAAGATGTCTCTGATTACCAGAGCTATGTTAAGGCAAGAAACGAAGCTACTCACGCGACAAGGAAAGCAAGGCGGGAATTTGAGTCGAAACTGGCTAAAGAAGTAAAAGGTAACCATAAAGTGTTTTGGAACTACGTCAACCGCCGTAGGAAGTCGAGATGCGGTGTATCTGACTTACGCAGTGCTAATGGAGAACTCACGAGTAATGACAAGCACAAAGCTGACATATTGAACCAGCAATACGCGAGCGTGTTTACAAAGGAGGACGTATCATCAATTCCAACAATAGCATCGAAGCCCTTGGAGTCAGAGATGGAAGTTACAATAACTGTTCAGAGAGTTAATGCCATGTTGAAGACACTTAAGGTCGATAAATCACCAGGCCCGGACAAGTTACACCCTCGTGTATTACAGGAACTTGCGGACCAGCTTGCGCCACCTATCACGGCATTATTTAGAAAAAGCGTTGAAACTGGGGAAATTCCCCTGCAGTGGAAGCTGGCGATCGTCACACCGATCTTTAAGAAGGGTGACAAAAGTGATCCTGCAAATTACCGACCAGTTTCATTGACATCAATACTATGTAAGCTTTTGGAGAGGATAATTGGCGAAGACATCATTACTCACCTGAAGGCAAATAACTTTATCGCTCATCAACAGCATGGCTTCATCACGGGAAAATCCACGGTCACAAACCTACTGGAAGCACTTGATGTTTGGACAGAAGCGCTTAGTCACAAGTTACCTGTGGATGTTGTATTTTTAGACTATGCCAAAGCCTTCGACACTGTGCCCCATGAACGGCTTCTGGCCCAGGTCAAGGCTCTGGGAGTCGATGACGTAACATGCCGATGGATAAGGAGCTTCCTCACTGGCAGACAGCAGAGGGTGAAAGTAAATGGATCGCTCTCAGATTGGGGGAATGTAACGAGCGGGGTGCCACAGGGCTCAGTCCTTGGACCTCTCTTG